CAGAACTTATTCATTCTAAGTGAAATTTAGTACCTATCAATGTCTCCCCCCCCCCCCCCCCCCACCCCGTAGCTCCCGACACTCAGTCTCTGGGAATCACCACTTTATTCCCTATTTTTATGAGTTTAACTCTTAAGATTTCACATATAAGTGACATTATACAGTGATTTGTCTTACTGTGCCTGACTTCTTTCACTTAACATAATGCCTCTCAGGCTCACCCATTTTGTAGCAAATACTACAATTTCCAGGATTTTTTTTTTAAAGACAGTGTCTTGCTGTGTTGCAATCCTCCTGACTCAGTCTCCCAGCTGGGACTACAGGCACATACAACCACACTCAGACTTTAAATTGAACTGGGAATAAGATCAGGAATTGATCTTCCCATGTGGTCCCAACTGGTGGAGAACACCACCACAGCAGTATGTGCCGTCATATTGGGCCAAAATTTCCTAGTTTTGTTTGTTTGTTTAAAGGATAAATAGTATCCTGCTGTGTATATATTCCACATTTTTAAAATCCATTTATCCATTAATGGACACAGATTGTTTCCATATCTTGGCTATTTTGAATAATGCTGCAATAGACATGGGACTGCAGACATCTCTTCAGCATGCTGACTTCAATTCATTTGGGTCTACACCAGTTACTGGGATTGCTGGATCATATGGTAATTCTAATTTTAGTTTTCTGAAAAACCTCCATGCTGTTTTCCAAAATGACTGTTCTAATTTATAATACCACCAAAGTACATAAAGATTCCCTTTTCTCCACATCCTTCCCAACACTTGTTATCTTTTGTCTTTTTGATAATAGCCAATTTAACAGGTAGGAGGTGATATCTCTCTGTGGTTTGAATTTTCATTTTTCTGATGATGACAGAAGCTAAGCATTTTTCATATATCTGTTGGCTATTGGTATATCTTCTTTTAAGAAATATCTAATCAGGTCCTTTGTCCATTTGTAATAGAATTATTTGTTTCCTTGTTATTGAGTAAAGTAAGTTCCTTATATATTTTGGTACTAGCTCCTTATCCAGTGTATCATTTGTAAATATTTTCTCCCAACCCATGAGTTGCCTTTTCACAGTCTTAATTGTTTCCTTTGCTATACAGAAGCTTTTTAGTTGGATGCAATCTCATTTATCTTTTTTTGCCTTTGTTGCCTAACAGGCTATAGTTACACAACTCATAATTTAATCTAGATGGAGTCCAACTTATAAAACAAAAGAACTGGGGCTAGCCGGTGACATGGTGGTTAAGGCACAGGACTCCCACATGAGTGACTGCAGTTTGAGTCCTGGACCTGGTGGCTTACTTTCTCACTCTTTCTCTCTGTTTCTCTGGTGAGCACACATGTCTTATAACAAATTGAAAGTAATAATAATAAAAAATAAATAATTCTTTTAAATAACAGAAGAATTAGAATTTTAAAAGAACAAAAAAGCAAGAATACAACTTTCAGGTTTAAAAAATAAATCAAGAATCCGACTTGATGCTTAAAAAAATGAAAAACTGGGACCAGCACGTGTGAGGTTCTCATATGGCCGACTACTGTTCATGTCCCAAACCTGGTGGCTTGCTTTCCCACTTTCCCTTTCTATCTCTCTGTCTCTCTCTAATGTCTACAGCAAGTTAAAAATAATCATAATAAATTAAATTAATACTTCTTTTTAAAAATGGAAAAGGACGAGATAATCCCTTGTAAAGTCTATTTTAAATGTACATGCAATAGCTGTTCAAATGAATTAGTGAAATTTTTAAAATAAAAAATACCCCCTGATGTTTCAAAGCAAAAAATCCCTTTAGTTAAAAAGAAAAAGAAAAATTAGCAACTGTTTTTACTGCAGTAGGAAGTGACAAAAACAAAACCTAAACAAACTAGGTTAAGAACAACAAATCAGTAAGGAAAAAATGAAATACCAGCTATAGAAAACTTTGAAAAAAAAAACAAGAATTATTTAATTTTATTTGTCATTATCATTTTTTTTTCAATTTGACCAGAGAGAGAGCAAGAGAAAGAAAGTGAGAAACCAAGCCTCAGGACTAGCAGTTAGTGTAATGGCTACATTGCTGAAAACCCATGTAGCCGACTGTGGTTCGAGTCCTGGACCTGGTGGTTTAAACTCATGCCGGGCACATGTGCATGCATGCCCAAGATCCTAAGAGGAGAATGGAGGAGAAGGAACTGTGGCGTGGCCATCCCCCCTGGGGGGTGATTTCTCACTTTCTGTCTCTCTGTCTGTCTCTTTCTGGCAAGCACACGCACCCTATAGCAAAAACCTTTCTAAGAAAGAAAGAAAGAAAGCTAGCTAGCTAGCTACCTAGCTAGCTTCTAGGTCTGGGATGAAAACTACAGTTGGCCATGTGGGAGTTCAGCACCTTAACCACCATGCCACCTACTGGCCCCTAGAAAACCTTTTAAAGAAACTACTTTCAGGCCAGCAGGTGGTATGGTGGTTTGGGTGTTTGCAAAAGCAAAGTTCTCAAGATGGCCAGCATATTTAGAATCGAGAACATAAATAATGGTTAGCCAACAATGGATCCAGAATATAAATAAGTGTTAGCCATACATTCAATCAAGGTCAGTCTTCCAGAATATTATGAAGGATGAAACATACTAAATCCAGATAGAGCTAACATATTGGCAATAATTTACTGGATAGCTCTCATCATCTTACATTTATTTTCTGTATAAAGTAAGCCTATCAGTTAAGAATGGTCCATGTTGGTTAAGGAGCTGGACTCCCACATGGCAAACCACAGTTTGAGCCTTGAACCCAGTGGCTTTAAAATCAGCCAGGTGTGTGTGTGTGTGTGTGTGTGTGCCTAAAAATCCCAAGAGGAGAGTGGAAAAGGGGCTGCACAGCATAGCCATCTCTCCTGGGGTGGGGGTGGGGGGGTATAATTTCTCACTCCCCTCCTCTAGCAAGCACATGGTGCCTGATGGCAAAAATCTTTAAAATAATAATAATGGTCAGATTTTGTATGGTTTTTTGTATGGTTTTTTTGTTTGTGGCTTTTTATTTTTCATTTGGCTGACTGGTTAGTTGGTGGGTTTGGTCTGGAGTGGCTTTGGGTTTTTGGTGGAGGTAGGTACAAGTGATTCAAAGAGAAATGCATTATCTAATAATGCTCTCAAAGATGAAAAAAATGGGAGGGGATTTACTAGAGAAGTACTAAATAGGACCATATTGCCATGTTAAGTGCACATTTGATATCTGTAATCATAGATTTAAAATGTCTACTCAGCATGTTGCATAATTTTGCTTTAACAAGTTTAGCTGCTCAGAACAGATTAAAAATATAAATGTATTTAACCAGCATAGTGTTTTGTAAATCATAGATTAAGAATGTGGTGGGGGGGGGTGATTTCTCGCTTTGTGTCTCTCTGTCTCTGTCTGTCTGTCTGGTGAGTGCACACGTCCTATAGCAAAAAAACTCTCCCAGAAAAAAAGAAAAGAAAGAAACAATGTGGTTGGAGCCAGCAGGTGGCTCAGTGGTTAAGGGCGCTGGACTCCCACATGGCCACCCATGGTTCGAGTTCCAGACCTAGCAGCTCGCTTTCTCACTTTCTCTCTCTCTCTCTTCCTCTACCCCAGGTAAAATTAAAATAAGGAAATAAAATTAAATAAAATAATTCTTATTAAAAAAAAAAAGACTGTGCTTGTATTTAAACAAGGTAGGCTTTGCCAGACAACTAAGATGGGAAAGAAGGGCAAAGCAGTCACTCAAAGTAGTCAATAGTGTCTGCAAGGAAATGGTAACTGAGTTAGACCATAGGACCTAAACTGGATAAAAGAGAAGTCATCAGTGAGGAGGGCAATCTGAAAAATCACATATTTTCACAAACCTTACTTGGATCCTGAATCAAATAAAATATATTTTAAAGCAAATGATACTTATAATTGAAAATTTAGTATTTTAAAATTTGTTATTTTGTGATATTAAGAATTCTTTTCTAGATATGATGTTACATTACATATTTTTTAAAGAGTCTATAATGAATAAATATTTCTGTGTATATACTTCAAAATAATGCAGGAGGTAAAGAAGTGGGTAGGCATGAAAATGAAAAAAAAAATTGACCATGAATTGATAACTGTAGTTTGAGTAATAGGTATATGAGAATTCATTATGCTATTCAGTCTACTTTTGTGTATGTTTCAAATTTTCTATAAAGAAAAAATAAAATGAAAGAAAAAGTCATATATAAAGATCGCTTAAAACGAAAATGTATATGCATCTAATTTATCATAATTGTTTAAAGACTTTAAATCTGGAGCCAGCAAGTGGCATGGTGGTTAAGGAGCTGGACTCCCACAATGGCCGACCATGGTTCAAGTCCCAGTCCTGGTAGCTTGAAAAATCATGCTGGGTTTGTGTGCAGGTATGCCTAAAATCTCAGGAGGAGAATAAAGGAGAAGGAATTGTGGCATGGCCATTCCCCAAGGGAATGCTTTCTAACTTTCCCTCTCACCATCTCTCTGTTTCTCTCTAGCAAGCACATGTGCCTATGGCAAAAAACTGAAAAAAAAAAAAACACAAATCTTTAACTTGTGCATACATAAAACCACAAAAATCTTTAACTTGGGCATACATAGAACAAATACAGAAGATTTTTATCATAATTTTCATATTTCAATAAAAATAAGAGGCCAAAGAGCTGTGAAGTTAAAGGAAATGGTACAATTAACAGACCAAAACAAAAGATAGGTAACTATATTTTAACTGTAATAATATAATAAGTTTTCTATAAAGATTAATTTAACATATAATTTCTTGTGATTTAAAGAAATATTTTTGTTTTGTATAAAAAATACTGAATGAATATTGACAGAAATACACAATTTAATTCTTATGCTTTACAGTAAAGAACTCTTTAATATTTGCCAAAGCATTATTCTGATACACTGTTTTACAATCTGCCTTATAAAGAAGCACACTGTATGATAGGATTTTTTAAAAATATACTTATAAAAAGTTGGGAATTGAACTTACTATTTCTCTCTGTTCTCTTGGAAAAGAAGAAAATAAGCACTGTTCTTATGCTCCAGATGCTAAAGGGGAATCAAAATTTAGGGAAAAATATCATTAGTTTTAGTGAACTAGAAGCCATGTAAAATTAGACAAACACATATTTCCAATTAAGGTTAGGTACATTGCTTCTATTTATCCATTGAATCAAAAAACATTTCTTTCTGTCAGAGAACATCAGAAGTCTACCGGTGCTGTCGAGGGAAGAATTCTCAATCTAAAGTCCTTCTAAGGATTCCCCTAAACTGCAAAATTGTCCTTGAGTGCGTAAGTGTATTTCTCTGGACAGACCATCGCTTCATCAATCTGAAAAAGTTCTATGAACCCCACACAATCAAAAGACTCAGAACAATAGTATAAAATCCCTTCTTACTAAATAACTATCACTTACAAAACTTGTCTATTGATCTATGCATTAAAGGAAAAGCATATTTTACTTTTACAAATGTCACAGCATTACACAAATGTTACTTTTTTCTATTATTTAATACTGGGAGTGGCGTAGTGGTTAAGGTGCTGGACTTCCACATGGTTGACCATGGTTCGAGTTCCGGACCTGGTGGCTTAAACTCACACCAGGCATGTCTGTGTGCAAGTATACATGCGTGTCCAAAATCCTGAGAGGAGAATGGAGGTGAAAGAACTGCAGCATGGATATAGCTAAACTCAAACTTGAAGATGTGTGGAAGGGCTCTCAAAATCAACTGAGATCACATAGGGGCTCAAAAGAGTAGAAGCAGAAAAGGAAAACTGCATATCACAAAGAGGTAACAAGGTAAACTTTTCCAAGTGTAAACCTTAGAACCCATATTTATAACAATGAGAACAAGATACACAGCACAGGCAGAAACTCCTCAGTTTGGTTTCAGTAAAGAAATAGAGAAGGCAGAGATTAAAAAGAAATCATTCTGAAATGCCCTAGTTACAAAGAGCATTCTGTTTTTATATATTTATATTAAATATAAATATATACGGTTGTCTAACCCTTTTGGCTGAGGAAAGATAAATGCTAAACAAACTCACCTACAAAATTTTGGGTGCTAAGTAAAATTCTAATTAGCTAGGAATATAGAAAGATATGTTTGCACTGAGACAAATCTACAAATAACTGGCCCAAAGTAAAGTAAACATACCATATGGTTATTTTCATTGTAAAAACCAAAGCAAAGTACAAAATTATGTTTTAAACTTAGACTAATTTCTTTCATCTCAGTTAAGTGTAAGTAGTCTAAACTCACTAAAAAAAAATAAAATGTTCAGACTACATCATAAAGTAAAACCTAACTCTATGGTGTAAACTGATACTTCTAGAAAGTTGAAAAACAATGGACAAAGGTATACCAGGTAAATGCAAATGAAACAAGAGTTATAATCTTAATATTCAAAAATTTTAAAAAAGGGAAAAAAAAGAGCTTTCAACTAGAGAATGATCATTCTACAGAATTTGAAAAAAAAAAAAAAAACAGAATATGACTTCTTTCCAACAAATGGTACCAGAGCAACTGGGAATCCACAGGCCAAAAGAAAAATATATTTTAAAAAATTCAAAAAACAAGCACTTTGGGCCGGCAGGTGACATGGTGGTTAAGGGTGTTGGACTCTCACATGACCAACCGCAGTTCAAGCCCCAACCTGGAGGATTGCTTTCTCATTCTCTCTCTTTCTCTCTCTCTCTCTCCCCCCCACCCACCCACCTACCCCTCCCTCCCTCTCTCTCTCTGGTCAAATAAAAATAAAGTCAAATTAAAAAAAAATTGTTAAAAAAAAAATCTCGGGAACCAGCAGTTAGCATAATGGCTGTGTCGCTGGACTCCCACGTGGTCGACCGTGGTTCGTGTCCCGGACCCGGTGGCTTAAAACTCACGCCGGGCACGTGTGCGTGCGTGCCCAAGATCCCAAGAGGAGAATGGAGGAGAAGGGATTGCGGTGTGACCATCCCCCCTGGGGGGTGATTTCTCGCTTTCTGTCTCTATGTCTCTCTCTGTCTGTCTGGCGAGCGCACGCGCCCTACAGTGAAAATCTCTCAAAAAAAAAAAAAAAATCTCAAAAGGGAACTTTTATACTGGGTTTTCAGAAAAATCATGACACGTTTTTTGCATAGAAAAATATTTGTTGACTTTTCCAATAACTCGATACTGTTGGTGGGAATGCAACTTAGTATAATACTGTGGAAAACAATATGGAGATTCCTCAAAAACTTACAAATAGATATGATACAGCAATCCCACTCCTTGGTATTTACCCAAAGAATAGGAAAGCACTCAGTTGGAAAGGCACGTGCATATCCATATTTTTACAGCATTATTTACAATTGCTAAGACATGAAATCAGTGTAATTCCCCAAGTACTGATAACTAGATTGAAAAACCGTGGCACATATATACTATAGAATACTACTAAGCCATAAGGAACAATAAGATCTTGTCATTTGATTAAAGTAGATGAATATAAAAGACACAATACTATGCAAAGTAAGACACACACTGTATATCCCTGCAAAATACATACTGAATGTCTGCACTCTGTGACAGAAATTGCAAGACCCAAAAATATCATAGTAGGAAGGATAAGTGTAGATACCAGAGATTATAAGAGAGGGGGAGTGGATGGTACAACATGGATGGGTGGGGCAAAGGGAAGAAAGACTGAACAGACAACAAAATGTTAATATTCTCTGTTGAAAATTATGTATATGGAAATATCCTTGATTTAACTGCTATTCACTATATACATACTTCGAAAAACTATAATGTAAGCCTCAACCTGAACCTCACCCCTATACAAAAATTAACTCAAAATTGATTATGAACTTAACTGCAAATTTTTTTGATTTTTAATTGATTTATTATTATTATTTATACATTCAATTGCTATACATCACTTAGATTGTAAAGAGAATTTACCCAGCATGAACTACACCTCAGACACAGAAAAAAAAGTGGAATAAAATCTATAGCTAGGCAAGGGATTCTTAGATTTGACAAGAAAAATACAATCCATGAAAGGAAAAACTAATGGATTGAACCTTAACAAAATAAAAACTTTTCTTCTGTTTTCTCTTTAATTCCTTTCCTCTCACTCTCCTCTATCTCCCACCCTCTTCTTACTCTGTCTCTAGTATCATAACCGCTATGATGTTTCTGTATCTTCAGTTTCTGTCATAGAGTGCAGACAGTCAGTAATAGTAAATGGAGACAAGCAATGTGGATTGTCTGTTGATGATAATGTGTATCATATTTTTAACTGGACTGGTGTACAGTGTATTCATGTTGGGTAAATTCATTCTACAAGCTGTAGAGATATAAAGTGGTTGAATGTGTAAAATAAAATAATAAAAAAAATTTTTAAATAACTTGCTCTACAGATGACTCTATTAAGAGAATGAAAAGCTAAAGATTGGGGAAAATATTTGTAAACAAAGAACTTAAATCTAGAATATATATAAAGTTCTCAAAACTCAACAGTTAAAAACAAACAAACAAAAAACAATAACCTATGTCACCCAGAGGCTTGGTGGTTAAGACATCTGAATACCACATGGTCAATTGCAAGGTTCAAATCCCAGATGCTGAGACTTGGAAAACACACTGGGTATATGTGCATGAGTGCCCAAAATCCCAAGAGGAGAATGGAAAAGGGATTGCAGCATGGTCATACCCTATGGGGGGAGGGGTATTCATTCTCTCTCTCTCTCTCTATCTCTCTCCCCTTCTCTGTACCACCCCAGCAATGAGAAAATTGGACAAAGACATGCAGGTATTTCACTTAAGAGGAAATATAAACGATAAACACATGAAACATCATTAACCATTAAAGAAGTAGAAATTAAAACTAAAGTAAGAAGTTACTATATATACCTACTAGCAATAGTCATAATAGAAATAGGAATAACACCAAATGCTAGCAAAGATGCACTGAAACTAGATGACTCACACATACCTAATTAAAAACATAAAAATGATAGTTACTCTAAAAATGAGATTAGCACTTTTTTTTCCAAAACTTAACATATACTTCCATATACCCTAGCATTTTTAATGTTGGGCATATATGCCAGAAAAATGAGAACTTACGTTCATACAAAAAAAGTTAGTGTTATGAACGCTAATGTTCATAATAGCCTTATTTATAATAGTCAAAGACAGAATAAAATGTCCTTCACAGTTAAACAAACTGTGGTACATTTATCCTATGGAATACTATTCAGCAAGAAAAAGAAAAGAACTACTGACACACTGAATGAATTGGATAAGTCTCAATAATATACTGCATGAAAAAAGCCAATTTCAAAAAGTTATAAATGATATAATTCCATTTTGTAACATTGTTGAAATAACAAAACTGTAGAAATGGGAAACACATTAGTGAATAGGAGGAGTTAGGAATGAGGCATGTGGAGGAGGGTAGGTATGGCCATAAACAGGTAGCAAAAAGGAGCTCTGTGCTGATGAAATAGTTCTCAATCTCAATCATGAAGTGTAACACATGTAATAAAATTTCACAGAAATATAATACACACACGAACAAATGCAGATAAAACTGATGAAATCTTGGGATCAGCAGTTGGCATAATGGCTATGTTGCTGGACTCCCATGTAGTCAACCACAGTTCAAGTCCCAGACCCAGTGGCTTAAACTCACGCTGGGTGCATATGCATGTGTGCCCAAGATCCCCAGAGGAGAATGGAGAAGGGATTGTGGCATGGCCATCACCCCTGGGGGGTGATTTCTCACTTTCTGTCTTTCTCTCTCTTTCTGGCGTGTACATGCACCCTATAGCAAAAACCTCTCCAAAAAAAAATAGGCTCTGTGGATGGAATCAAAGTTAATTTTGTGGTTATAATACTTTACTATAGTCATGGAAGATGTTACCATTGGTGAAGATGGGGTGAGGGCACACAGGCACTCCTTGGACTTTTTTTTTGTAACTTCCTAAGAATATATAATTATTACAAAATGAAAAATTATTTTAAAAGGGGGGTTGGTAGATTGGTTGAGGGCACTGGACTCCCACATGGCCAAC